GGAACAAGAGAAAAAGCAGGAGGAGAAAAAGGAGGGGAGGAGGGTGGGGAGGAACGAGGGAGGAGGAGGAAGAGGAGGAGGAGGAAGAGGAGGAGGTGGAGGAGGAGGAGGAGGAAGATGGGGAACGAGGGAGGAGGAAGAAGGAGGAGGAGGGGGAGAAAGGAGGAAGAGGAGGACAATGAGGAGGAAGAGGAGCAGGAGGAGAAAGAGGAGGAGGATGCGAATGTTCTGGCATGTTCGGTTGGAGGACGGCGCATGTCCCTATCTCATTTGGCACACATGATACTCTCTGCATCTCGGACCGCCGTCGGAGGGCCCAAGGGGCGGGGGCACTTACCCGCATTAATTTTCGCTAGGTCCCGCTTCCCTTTGGCCGTTGGGGGGCACTCCTTAACCAACTGTCGGGGGTCCGTGGCGCAACGAAAACCGAATTTGCTACATCAGGTGAGGCAATATGTGCTCCAATTCTCGAGCGCGAAAGATACCCGTACCCTTACCTAGACAGGGTGGCAAGGGGCCGGGGGGGCGGTTCGTCGCAGCTGACGGCGGCTGCACAAGTGTAGAAACGACAGCCGATCGAGCATTGCAGACCGCTGTCATCTCGGGGCGCACGTTAGCACCGATCGCACGTGCGTTCGAATCGGCGGAGCGCCCGAGCCTGCGTTGGTTGTTGTCGACGTAGACCAGCTACTGCAGAGGCGCGCCCCCAGACACACATCCGGGCGTTGAGGAGTCAACGCGCGCTCGGGGGCGCATGCGAACAACTCTGGCGCGAACGTCATTGCGCGACAACCGCCCTATCGCGAATTGCTTGATGCAGAGACATCGCGAATCTGTGCCCTGGGCGACGTCGCCAGAGGCCGCCCCCCTTGGACGGCCGTCTGCGGATCACCCCAGTTAAATACGGTTGCCCCATGAAAACCCAACAAACATGCCCGTACCTAGCTGGGGTGCCGCAGCTCACCCCAGCTAGGTCCGGGTATGTTTCGGTGGTTTCAGGCAGGTCCCCGTACCTAGCCGAGGTGGCGGCAGGCCCAAAACGCTCTCGAGCACATATCATGCCCCCCAGAGCCGTCCCCGACGTGGCCGCTGCGGCCCCCTGGGGGCGCGACATTGCAACGTCGTTCCTAAGGGCAGGCCCAGACGCACTGGTTGCCAGGATAGCGAGGAAATGCAACTATTTATCGATTGGGACAGGCGCCGCCACATATGGGCGGCTTTGAACCGCGCACGCACCACGATGCCCCAAGACGTCCCTAACAAAAACCAGCGCTTGTCGCTGCAATCAGACACCCAACCATCGAGCGCGCCGTTGCGTCTTGACGCGCGGATGCTGCGCTGGCGCGCGCGGGGCAAGCTGACCGGGCACAATAGCAAGCGCCCAATCCCCCGGACGGCCCATCTCACCTTGGCTGGCCCCGAATACGGGTATCTTTCGGGCCAATGACCAATACTGCCACGCATGCGGAAGAGGAGGAGGAAGAGAAGGAGGAGGAGGAGGAGGAGGAGGAGGAGGAAGAGGAGGAGGAGGAGGAGGAGGAAGAGGAGGGGGAGTAACCGGAGGAAGAGGAAAAAGGAGAAGGAGGAGGAGGGGGAGGAGGAAAGGGGGGGGAGGAGGAACGAGGGAGGAGGAAGAGGAGGAGGAGGAGGAGGAGGAACGAGGGGGAGGAGGAAGATAATGATGATGCTGATGATGATGAGGATGGTGGTGATTGTTTTCTCCACCCCCAGGGCTTGCAGCGAGCTTCGTCCTCTTGAGCCGTCAGGGTTTGGGGCGTCACCACAGGCACCCGCACGGGGCGCCCACCTGGCGGTGCCGACCCCAAAAAGGGCCAGACCACCGAAGCACCCTCCCCTGACTCCTGCACTATGGGGCACGTAGCATCACCAGGGGCGCCCGCGCAAGGCACCCCCTGGCCGCGACGACCCTAAAAAGGACCAGACCACCGAACCCACTCCCCCGACACAAAGCCGAAGAACTCAATAGAGCATATCGCTTGGTAAAGAACGAGCTCGCGATGAAGTCCCTGAGCCATTCTCAGAACGGGGAAGAGTACGATCAAATGCGGCCCCCCATCAGAAGTACCAATCACTTCCCCCCGGCACTGTTGAAGCCGAGCCATTTCAGAACCCGAAGCTCGTCGATGCTCACCCGGCGTGGGCGAAGAGGCCGGAATATCGGGACCACCACCTGGGAGAGCCACGGCATCCGTCGGAAGAGGAGCAGCCGTACCTGCAGAGCCATCAGGACCGTCGTGGGCAGGCCCACGAGGCGCATCATCATCCGAGGAACGCACAGGGGCAGCACAGCCATCAGGAGGGCGCAGCACGCGCGGGTCACCACAGTACACACCAATAGACTCCGCAAACTTCTCCAGATGCCTGTCGAGCATGTATTGGAGGGACGCAAGAAGAAGCACAGGAGGTAGGCCAGCATCATGAACAGCTTCTGCATGAACAGCTTCTGCACGAACAGCCTCTAAATGAACAGCTGTTGCTTCGGCACGAACAGCTTCTGCATGAAGAGTTTCTGCATGAGCAGCTTCTGCATGAACAGCTTCTTCACCAGCCATCTCACGTAGCACTATCGAGACGAACGCGGGCATCTGGAAGGCCAGCAGAGCAAGCTCCACCAAGAGAAACTGCTCCACCAGCATGAGCAGGATAGAAAGCGGGAGCCTCAGAGTTGAAAGGGAAAGGCGGCACCACTGGAAGGTTGGCAGGAGCAGGGCCACCAGATTGATCAGCATGGTGTCGAGGAAACTTGTGAAGAGGAGTCCCGCCATCGCCGCGAGGAAGGCTACCGACACAGCACGGGTCAGAGCCACCCTCCCACCATGGGTCACGATCATCAGGCTCGCCATGTCGGTGCCGTCGCCGTCTAGGACCGCCGCCGTGGTCATCATTTCCGCCGTCACCATCGTCATCAGGCCCAGTAGCGGCGCCACCAACACCACCAGGCCAAGGGCGAAGCCAGAGCAAGACCTTACATATGCCATTGCTGAGCACGTGCCCGCGGTCGATCGTGATCATGTTATTGGCAAACTCCTGGACGGCGCGCATCTGTTGCAAGATGTGGCCATGGGCCGGGTGGCCAATGATACTAGGGGCAGCCTGGACCACAATCTTGATCTTAAAGCCATCACCAGGCTGCGCCACGACCGACAACGCAACCGCCCGCCCAGCACGAACATGTTTTGCGAGAGTGCCGAGCCGCTCGGCGACGACCATGGGGGGCCCGCAGGAGAAGAAGAGAGAGAAAGCAGGGCGATACCTGCCAAAAGCCACGCACCTCGGCAAGCCTCAGAAACTGGCTGCTGATGATGGTGGTGATGATGATGATGAGGATGAGGATGTGGGTGATGATGAGTAGGAGGATGATGATGATGAGGAGGAGCGAGGGAGGAGGAGGAGGAGTAGAAGAGGGAGGAGGAGGAGGAGGGGGAGGAGGAGGAGGAAGACGAGAAGAGGGAGGCCGAGGAGGAGAAGGAGACGGATGAGGATGAGGAGGAAGAGGAAGAAAAACAAGGAGGAAAGAGGAGGAGGAGGGGGAGGAGGAGGAGGAGGAGGAGGAGGAGGAGGAAGAGGAGGATGAGGAGGAAACGGAAGAGGAGGGGGAGGAGGAGCAGGGATGATGATGATGATTGAGCGTAACTGAAAGAGAAACGAGGGCAAGCGGACAAGAAGCGAGAAGAGGGCAAGAAAGTCGACCCCGCTCCCTGCCAGCTGCCACAACGCCTACTTCATCTGGCTGCAATGCTCAGCGCTACTCGCTGCGGCTAGAGCCTGAGGAGTGCGCGCAAAGGGTGACGCATCTTCGTTGTTCGGGAAAAGTAGAGGAAAAAGTAGGATGGGCGGAAGCGGGGGAAGCGAGGGACGCCAAACGTAGGACAGCGGGGGAGGTGAAGCAGAGGCGGAAGACCTGGCTAGAGCGGGCGCCATATATGGCCCAGACTCGCCGCTCAACGCGTCGCTGACCGCATCATCGCCCTTGGGGAGGCGTCTTCCAGCGAGCACGCGTCGAAGCAGTGCGGGTAGCGGTCAGCAGCTCCAGCGGCGACGCGAGTGACGGGAACTTCAGGACTACCAGTGGTTGCGATGCTGCACTCGCGATCGCTATCAGCCAATGTGAACCTCGTGAAATCCACCCCGACGTCGAAACATCGATAGTACGGGCGGCTGTTCTTCAGAACTTTGCGCCGCATGGCCCGCCACCACTCTTGAAACAGCGCGCTGAGCAACGACTGCGTCCGCTTGGGCACGTAGCGGCGTATGGAGACGACTCGCTGCAACGACCTTACCGCGAAATCACCACCAGCGTCGGCAGCAACAGGTCCGCGTAGAAGGCCGTCGCCACCATGAGGTGCACCAGGAGGCGCTGCATGGGCGAGTGTACGCAGAAGAACTGGACGGATATGGTTTTCGCCACCAGCGACGCTAGCAGCGTGAGCGTGCAGATGACCATCATCACATTGGCCAGGGGGGCATCATCATGCAGGCCACAAGTATGGCGACGAACTTTAGATTGCGGAACGGGGCGGACATGCAGAACAGTGTACACAGGATCGTACGGGGCGGTAGGGGCACCACCAGCGGCCGATTCGGGGCGCTCTCGAGCAACGGCGGGGTCCCCGCCAGCACCATACGCATGTTGAAGAAGACGTTGGTGCGTATGTACGCTACCACCAGTAGCGGCAGTAACAGGAACGTGCCGAAGATCGGCGAGAGCAGGTTCGTGCAGAACGTGTTGGAGCGGGAGCGGTTTGCCACCAGCCGCGGCGGAAGCAGGAGCATGCCGAAGAACGGCAGGGGCAGTTTCGCGCAGAGCATGATCATGAAGAGCTTGAGCGGGGTTGTTAAAATGAACATCGGCAGCCACTCCAGACGGGGCGGCGCGAGGACAGCCATGCAGATGAACCTGGGGTAGTTCGGGGCGTGCAGCATCAGCCACTCCAGGCGGTAGGACAGCATAAACGTCATCATGCAGAGCTTCCTCAGGATGGTCATCCTCATCGGCTCGACCTTCTAGCCACGAGTTGGGAGAAAATGCATAACTCCATCATCAGCAGCACCACAGTCGTTAGCACCGCTGTGCCGCGGGTGACCGTCACCAGCGGCAGCACGAGGTGCTTCGTCGTCGACGGGTGGGGGAAGCGGTCCAGCGCCAGCGCCACCGCGGAGCGGAGCGGCAGGAGCTAGTGGTGGAAGAGGCCCAGCACCACCATGCGGACGAACGGGCATGTTCTTGATGAAGTTCGCGGCGGCGGCGAGCCCGCTGTCGTAGCAGATACTCAGCGGGCAGAGGGGCCGCGGAGCTGGTGTCGGTGCTGCCATTGGAATATGATGCGCAGCAGCTCGTGGAGGCAGTAGTAGATGAAAGAGAAGAAGTTGCCGAGCAGCAGGCCAGCGTGCATGTCCGCAGTGCCGCACCTGGCAAGCGCGCCGATGAAGGGCACCATCACTTCTCCGATGTGGCATGACGGGCAGCGTCAGCAACGACAGCAACGGACGCCATCGCGTGGGCATATGGAACCGCGGTCCTCGAACGGCGCGGCGCTCGGCCAGGTGGCCTCGATGTAAATGGACATAGAATTCATGTTGGCCCAAAAAAAGGTATCCCACTTGAGCCAAAATGGCTACAGAATTGTGATGGTGGCGATGGCGATGGTGATGACGATGATAATGATGCTGATGATGCTGATGATGCTGATGATACGTATGATGATGATGCTGATGCTGATGCTGATGCTGATGATGATGATGATGATGATGATGATGATGATGATGCTGATGACGATGATGATGGTGATGATGATGATGATGACGATGATGACGATGATGACTATGACGATGATGATGATGATGATGATGATGATGATGATGATGATGAGGAGGAGGAGGAGGAGGAGGAGGAGGAGGAGGAAAAGGAGGAGGAGGAGGAACGAGGGAGGAGGAGGAGGAGGATGCGGAGGAGGAGGAGGAGGAGAAGAATGAGGAGGAGCAGAAGGAGGAGGAGGAGGAGGAGCAGGACGAGGACGAGGACGAGGACGAGGAGGAGGAGGAAAAGGAGGAAGAGGAAAAGGAGGAGACGAGGAGGGGAGGAGGAGGAGGGGAGAAGGAGGAACGAGGAGGAGGAGGCGGAGGAGGAGGAGGAGGAGGAGTGGACGCGGGAGGAGAGGAGGAGGGAGGAAAAGGAGGAGGACAAGGAGGAGAGGAGGAGGAGGGGGAGGAGAAGGCGGAGGAGGAGGAGGAGGAGGAGGAGGAGGAGCAGGAGAAGGTGCAGGAAGGGGGAAGGGGAGGAGAGAAGGTGAGGAGGAGGAGGAGGAGGAGGAGGAGGAGGAGGAGGAGGAAGAGGAGGAGGAGGAGAGATCACGCTTCGCCCGAGGAGACCTCGCCACTGGCCTCGCGGAGCGGTGCGCCGCGGCTTCGCTCTGCACTCTGTTCATGCTCCTGCTCCTCCTCATGCTCCTCCTGCTCCTCCTGCTAGTGCTCCTGCTCCTCCTCCTCCTCCACCTCCTCCTCCTCCTCCTTCTCCTCCTCTGTGCCTCCTCTCCCCGCCCATGTCCTCCTCCTCCTCCTCCTCCTCCTCCTCCTCCTCCTCCTCCTCCCCTCTCCACCATCCTTGTCGTCACCCTCCTCCAAACGTCCTGCCGACGGCCAACCAAGGCCACGCTGGCTTCGCCTGGGACTTGTCTGCCCAGGCCTGGTTCCTCTTGCCCTCGGGGCGCGGGAAACCGGCAGGAGGAGGCGGATGAGGATCGGTAAAAATTAAGAAGAGGTGGTGGCGAAGGAGCCAAGGAAGAAGAGGAGAACAAGTGGAGGAGGTGGGAGGAAGAGGACAAGGTGGGGGAACCGCGGGGACGAGGCGGAGGAGTGGTTGGTTGAGGACAAGGGTGAGGGATAACGACGAGCAGGGGTGGTGGGGGGGAGGGGGAGGACGGCGAGGAGGTGGGGAAGGGAAAGGCAGGGCTGGAAGCAGAGATGGATACGAATAGACGGAACTGCGGATGGGAGGACTTGGGGGGGAGGTCGTCGGGTGTGGTGTGGTCATGGGAGAGACAGGCATCGGCTATGGGGACCGTGTAGAGGCTGAGGTGCCGGTATCCCGAAGTCCTCGGCGACCCGAAACCCAACCGGCAATACGCACGCGAATTACTGCACCCACAGAAATGGCTCTGGGGGGGAAGCGCGCGAGAGAGAGAGAGAGATGTCGAGATATGCATGTGTATACACATGGCACGCTTGTAAGTGAATGTATATCCGTATATATACACACATTTACATGCGCATATGCACATGTATACAAATATATCAGTAAATGTAAGTATATGTATACAAACATATGCACATGTAAGTGAATGTATATCAGTATATGTATACACACATATCAGTATAAAACATGCAATTACATACGCACATGTGTATGCACAGATGTGAAAGAGGAAAGCGAGAGAGAAAGAGAGAGACGCGCACAAACGGAGCATTCACTTGTATAGATGTATCCGTCACCGTGCCAGTGGCACGAAGTGGAGTGCCCCAAGGCGCATGCAGCACTGAGAGGTAGAGGCTGTGCTGCTGCTGCTGCTGTTGCTGCTACTGCTGCTGCTGCTGATGCATCGAGAACTGTAAGCCTTTAAGGGCCCCGACCGATCGTTTTCCAAGCCTTTCTGGGGTTTCCCTGGCTGGCTCCCGTGAGTTCGGGGCCCGGCGGGTCCTCTGGACGCTGTGCACTCCCAGAACGCTCCCAGCGAACCTCGATTCGCCGAAACAACACTACCATACAAGCTCGATGACCCCAAACGGCCCAAAAGGCCTCCAAGACGCACCAAGAGGCCTCCTAAGAGGGCCCCCAAAAAGCAAACACCAGTGTTGCTCCGTAGGTTTTTGAGGGGTTTGGGCCTTCTCGCCTTTTCGGCGCCCCGACGCTCCAAGACGACCCAAGAGGCCCCACCCCAAGATCGCGTCAAGACGGCGCCACAGGTTTCCAAGAGTGCCCCAAGACGAACCAAGAGGCGCCCCAGACGGCCCAAGAGGGCCAAAAGACGGCTCCGAGAGGGGTTCCCTATGGGGAGCCCGAACGAAAATTCGAGCCCTCGGCCCCGAGGGGCCCCCCGCAGGCCCCAAGAGGCCCCCCAGAGGCCTCAAGAGGCCACCAAGAGGCCCCAAGAGGCCCCCAAGAGGCTCTGGAGGGGCTCCAAACTTGTTCCCAAGAGGCCCCCGAGAGAGCTCCGAAGAGACGCCAAGAAGCATCCCTGAGAACTCTGACCCACAACCCAGGCACGGTGGCGGGATGGGCCGACGGCCATTGTACCTATACATATATATATATATAATGTATATATATATATGTGTATATACACATACATATATATATATATGTATACACAAGTGTGCATATATAGATACACGGAAAGTATAAATACATGTACTTCTATATACATGCACACATGCTTGCACGCATCTACACTTCACCTAAGTATCCGAATTATGGGACGTGCGATGTACTGCGCAACGAGCAGGCCAAACAACCCAGAGGAGCAGAACCAAGAAAACCGCTCGACGGGGCCGGTGCAGAACAGACGGGTGCACGGGAGGTCAGGGAAGTAGGATTGGGTCGGGCATGTCCTCCTACAGGCGGATTCTGGACGAAAACCTCAAACTAGTCAAACAATATTCGAAAAGAGTCAAAAATAGTAGAAAAATCGTCCCCAGACTATTTCTGACTATTTCTGAACATTCCTCCTGTAGAGGAACATGCCCGACTTAAAAGTAGGAGGTCAAGGAGGGTCTCCGTTGGGGTGCACCGCAAGAGACCGTGTCATCTGAAACGGCGATAACCCTGGTTATCTGGGAGGGGGGCGGGCCGATAACCTAGCCTTCGCGCTGTGGGCAGCCCTGCATATGCCCGCGCGCACCGGTGCTGCGGCCCCTTCAGTTGCTAACGATGCTGCCCCGATGCTACTATTGGTGCTGCGACGATACGGGCGCCGTCTGAGAATGCCTACGGATGTCTGGACAGCTCGCATTGGAATACGCGGGATGTGATTGCTAAGCGTAGCCGCGAAGTCTTGTACACGATCTATAGAACACGCGTGCACCACACTGCCTGTGAGCACTACAAAACACGCGCACGCCACAACGGTGTTGCACACTACAGGGGCTGCTGCAGCAGAGGCTTCTGCGTGCACCACAGCGCCTGTGTACACCCCGATGCCTGTGCACATGCACCACAGCGTATGGCGAACATTTGCGCCACAGAGCTTCTGCGCACCTCCAAGGTCCCGCCGGGGTCCAAATCTGGAAAATCCCCAGGGGCCCGAACGTATCAAATTCAATATGTAAGTTATTTATGATTATTGATGTTTCTGGCCCGGGATACCGATCTCCATTTTGGGCCGACCATGTTTATGCACACCACGGTGCCTGTCTAGTGTAGTGTACACAACGACGCCTTTGTACAACACAGCTGCTTGTGTACTCCGCAGCGCCTGTCTACACAACAGTGTCTGTGTACACCACAATGCCTGTGTACACGACAGAAGCCGTGTGCACCACAGTGCCTGTGTACACTGCAGTACTTGTGCGCGCCACAGGAGCCGCGTGCACCAAAGCGCATGGCGAACATTTGCGCCACAGCGCTTCCATGCACCTCCAAGGTCCCACCGGGGCCCAAATCTGGAAAATCCCTGGGGGCCTTGCCCGAACGCATCAAATTCAATTTGTATGTTATTTGTGATCATTGTTTTTTCTGGCCCGTCTTGCGCCCCCCCCCGTTTTTGGCCGACCATGTCTGTGTACACCACAGCGCCTGTCTAGCGTGCGCCACGACGCTCTTGTACACCTCAGCAGCTTGTGTACACCGCAGCGCCTATCTACACCACAATGTCAGTGTACACCACAATACCTGTGTACATACAGCAGCCGTGTGCACCGCACGCAGCGCCTGTGCACACACCACACACACTGCCTGTGCACACGACGACACCTATGTGCACCACGTTTGCTGCTTCAGCACCATATTCGTGCACCACAGCTCCAAGGCACCAGAATGCTTGTGTACACCATAAACTGCATATACTTCCAGGACCCCCACCAGGACCGAACTCCAGAAAATCGCGGGGGGTCCGAATGTATCAAGTCCAAAAATGTAAGCTTTTTGTGATCATCGATTTTCATTGCGCAGGGAACGGTCAAGTCTGTTGGGCCCACAACGCCTGCGCACACCATAACGAATATGTGCGCAGCAGCGGATGTGTAGACATCGGGGCCTGTATACACCACAAGGTGTGGTACACCGCAATGACCGTGCACCACCATGCTTCTGTACAGCACCATGTTCGGGATGCCTGCGTGAATGATAGCTGACGTTGCAGGAACCGCTGTGCACACCACAAAGCCTGTCTTCACCATATTGCCTGGTGCATCACGATGCCCGCGTGCACCGCGCGACCTGCGTGCACTTACCTATGCTTGCGTGCACCACAACGCCTGCGTACACAACAGATCCTGCTGCAACAGCAGCACATGCGCGCACCAAATCGCCTCGCTGCCTGTGCACATCACAATGCCTTGTACGCGCTGCCCACGTGCACCTCCAGGTGTCCATGGACGACGTCGGTCGTCATCG